ACTCCTCTCTCTCTCTCTCTCTCTCTCTCTCTCTCTCTCTCTTACTCTCTTATTCAGGTACTTATCTAATCTACGCTGAGGCCTAGCAGTGATGAACTCGAACCACGGTTTTTTTTTTCCGATACTCGGTTCCTATGAAGAGAAAACATTTCCGCGGAAATCTTTTAACGATCAGAAGCAGCTTATCCTGACCCTCAGAGTTGGTTTTTTTTCCCTGCTTTATTTTTAAACCTTCCATTAATTTTAGTACTTTATGAATGTTGTTCTTCTCGTTCCAGGACCACGGGCAGTTTGTTAGCACAGTCTTCAGCTGGCTTTCATCTTTTCATTTCTGATTTCTCTTTTTTAACTTGGTAAAAAAAAAAAAAACACTCTCCATCTTGTTGCCAAGTATTTGTTTTGCTGCCTGCGACTCAGCTGATGTCCAGGGTGTTTTTTCTTGGTCTGGATGACCTCGGTGTCATGAAGTAAGAACTGTACAAAGTCAAACCTTGTACTACGTTGTCGTTAGTACGATTCCAGTTCATGTTCCCGGTGGTTTTGGTAGTAACACGATTATGTTGTGATATAAAAAATAAATTGCTCTGATTGGTTTGGAAACAGCTTGTGATCTTTGGCGGAGCTCGGCGTCCAGAGGTTTGGACTCGATGTTTGTTTTTCTTCGTCGTGACCGTTGTCCTGATGAGGTTTCTAATTCTTCGTAATCTCGCCTCGGTTCTTAACGGGCGGCTGGACGCCCCGACGCAGGGCCTCCTGGGCCTTTTTTTTCCTCTCTTTTCCACTGAGAATTTCTTTTTTGGGTTTGACAATATATATACCTCATTCCTTCAGTCCAGCGGGCCCCAGGGGGCGCTGTGCCGATGCTCAGGACGCTCAAGCCCCCTTTTTTATGGTTTGGTCCCACATGGACTGTACCTCGTACAAACGCTAAACACACAAACGCATACACACTTACACACAGGTTCTCCTAATACCCAGATGGACCTCATATTTTCAATATCTACTGTTTACAGTTTGACAAAAACAATTGTATAATTTAAAAAATATTTTCTCATAATGTAGTTTTATTTATGTACAATAATTTTTTTTTGTTTTTTTTATTTTATTTTGTACCTTGTGAGTTGGACATTTATTCTTCTAGACTTCTATTATCAATGTCCGTGTAAATGAGCACTTACGAAAAATCACAATAATTGGTTTTAGTTTGATTGACTGCACTATTTGGTTTTTTTTGGGTTTGTTTTTTTATTTTCTCCCTGTTTTGATGCAAATCTGATTTTTGTAATTGGGCCAATGAAAAATGAAATGTTTCATAATATCTGTGATTATTTTTGTTCTGACAAAAAGACGAAAGACGGGTTGATTTCCTACAGTCTTTCTCTTTTTTAAAAAAAAAAATCTTAATTTTTGCATTGACTTTCAGGCAACGCTGATTAGATCTGTCTTTGTGCATGTGTAAAATATTTTACTGGTTATGTTATATTCAATTTGGTAAAAAAAAAAAGTAAAAAAAAAATAGAAAAAAGAAAATTGCCATTTTTGCCACACATTTCAGCTGTAATGTTGTGTAAGGTAGTATTCACTGGATGCTAGAACCTTGTTTTCAAAACCACTATTCTTCTAATAAATTTTGTTGTGAAAATACGCAGCTTTTTTTTTGGTTTCTTTAAAAAAAAAAAGAAGAAGAAAAACACTGCACCACGCCCCCAAGTGGACGGGGAGGTTTGTATTCAAGATTTCCTCCATTAAATTGTTTGTTGTTTTTTTTAATGCAGGGAAAAGTCGACAGTTTGAGGTTGTTTGCAGTCGACATCGATGGCGAAAAAATGAGGGAGCGAAATATTGTTGGACCGGTGAAGTTGCCAAAGTTGCACCAAACGATCACAGGTTCCTCCAGAGACCTTTAAAGGATCACAGGACCAGACGGTGAGTAGACGATTTGAATTTCTACCCCGTTTACTTTGACAAGTAAATGGAAGACAATTTGAGCAAAGATGATCAGGAACAATGTTGAGATTCACGTTTCTTCTTCCTGTTTGTTCCCCTTCTCCCTCTCTTCGTCACTTGGAGGAGTCAAATCATATAAGAACCGAAGATAACAAAAGAAAACCATATAGGAATCTGTCACCATGGTTACGCAGATGCAACTATGGCAACGTACTATAGAATTCAAGGTAAGTGTGTCCAGGATCTGCTAATTAACCACAGTCTTCACGTGTTATTTTGACACCGCGTCGACTCCGACCCTGCTCCTGTTTCGTCGTTGTTATTTTGAGTGAGGTTATGTTCTGGTTAAGAGATGAATTAGTGCTAACAGTTGCTGCACCGTCTTCTCCTATGGAACTCTTACTGTATATGAATTCACGACGGCTATAACTCCCCCCCCCCCCCCCGCCCCCGAGTCTTACTGCCTGCTACGTCATGTGATCAAAAACAACAGAAATAAAACACGTCTTTACTGCAGTTTAACTCAGTTTAACTCATCAGTTCCTGTAGTTTAATTCCCTGAACTGTTGTAGTTTTTGCTTCATTTGAAAAAAATCAATGAATTGCTTTTTCGACTATACACAACTTTGAGTGTTGTGTTATATTTTCTAAACATGTACTGAGAACAGAATCTCTGAGTCTAAACCGCACAGATAAAACTCAGGAAACACAGTTGTTGTTCTTTTTTTTTTTTTTTCTTTTTTTTTAGTTTTTATTTAAAAAAATACAAGTGTTTCAAGTCTGACTTCTGTTTCTTTGCCTGCAGGCTCTGGTGTGATTCAGCCAATAAAATGATTCTCGTCCCTGAGGAACTCTGGGAACTCTGGGTCCAGCGCACACACCGCCTCACCTCTCGCTCTCGCTGCTCGTTCCTGTTCTTGACACAAATCTTTCTCTGCTGCAGGGCCGTAGGAACACGGAGAACCAGCTCTCTGCAGCGGACGGAGGCAGAAAAGACAAATAACTTTTCAGGGCAGAAGAAGAAGTAGGTCATCCTCCCATCAAATATTTATTTCTCATACTGCGCCTAAGGCTCCAAAAGGGCTCCCTCTTTATATACCATACTTATTCTGTAGCATACTGTATATTATATATGTGTGAGTTGTTGTTTTTTTTTCTGCACTCATTTGAACTTATATGGTTTCTCACTGGATTTGAGCTCAAGTATGTTGTATATTTGGAGACATTTTTTTTAGGCTTATCTAAATAAATGTAGAAATACCTTTGTTTGAACCTTTGAAGAAGTGCAATTTAAAAAAAAATCTTTTGTCTTATTTTGTGTTTTCATCTCCAGATGTGCAACAGTGATGGTCATCTTGAAGCTGAAACTCCGGAGTTTGTATCGAACAAAACAATGCTGCGCTTCAGAAACCACTGTCGAGGCTTCATTGGTTTAGCCTGAGTCATGTGACCAATGATGTGAGAAGGTAACGTACAAATCTACAAAATCACATTTCTCTGTTCAGAAGTGGAAAATCTGAGTTCAAGACTTACATATTCTATGAAGTTATTTTTTTAGAAAGTGAAATTTAAATTGAAATATATATGTCTCAAAAAACACTGACAAGAGTCAGTTTATCTCAGGAAGTTATTCAGAATAATCCTGATTTAGAATGCCATTTTTGGTTAGATGTTGGAAAATTATGATGAAAATTTTTGCTTTAATTTAATCTTTTCTGCATGTTATAGTATAGTATTTTCCTGTGATTAAAGGTTGGCGTACCAAAAAAGTATATTTTTTCTCAATTTTAACAACAGAAATGGACATAGATACATAGTAATACATAGTAATACATAGTAAGTATTTTAAGACAAATGAGTGCA